GCCCACTACAATGATAGAGCTTAGAAGAGCCAGGACAATTTTTTATATAACTCCAAATGTATTCGTCTGAAAGAAGAAAGTCATATACACATAGGATGCCTCGAGGGTGAGTAAAACACAGGCTAATTTTCATTTTTGGGTGAACTAACCCTTTAAATTATTTAAATTCATTTAAAAGTCATAGTATTTCTAATTTGTTGTTAAAGAGGCTGTTTGATTTAGTTTACCCATGAATGTTAATTAATGCATTAACTATCAAACAGGTACTAACATGTAGTTAAGGCTGCCGTTATTCATGCGTGAATCCTTTTGACTCTGGTTGTAGTTAAGGATAGCTCTTTATTAGTTCATGATTAGTTAGCAACTTCAGTAATCATTAGTATATGATGGATTAAGGGTTAATGTAGCCATTAGTACATGGTTATTCATGTACCCTTTTTATAAAGTGTTACCCAATAAGTCTTGCAATAGTAATTTTTTGGCATTTTAATCAAATATTCAGTCAAGAAAGAGACATTAAAGAATAGCTCACCCAAAAATGAAAATTAGCTGAAAATGTCCTCAGCCTCAGGCCATCCAAGATGTAGATGAGTTTGTTTCTTCATCAGATTTGGAGAAATGTAGCATTGCTTCACTTGCTCACCAATGGATCCTCTGCAGTGAATGGGTGCCGTCAGAATAAGAGTCCAAACAGCTGATAAAAACATCACAATAATCCACAAGTAATCCACAGCACTCCAGTCCATCAGTTAATGTCTTGAGAAGCCAAAAGCTGCATTTGTAAGACAATAATCCACAAGTAATCCACACCACTCCAGTCCATCAGTTAATGTCTTGAGAAGACAAAAGCTGCGAGTTTGTGAGAAACAAATCCATCATTTAGGCATTTTTAAACTTTAAACTGATGTTTCTGGCTAAAATATGAGTCCTCTATCCATAATATTGCTTCCTCCAGTAAAAAAGTCGTCTCGTCTGAATCAGGAGAGAAATCTGCACAGATCAAGCACCGTTTACAACAAAAACAGTCCAAAACAACTCTAAACAAATATGTGGGTGATTGTGATGTGAGAGACAACAGGAGAAGGACTTTCACTGGAGGAAGCAATATTATGGATTATGGACTCATATTTTAGCCAGAAACAACAGTTTGAAGTTAAAAAATGCCTTGATGTATTTGTTTCTTACAAACACACAGCTTTTCACTTCACAACATGTTAGTTGAGGTACTGGAGTGGTGTGGATTACTTATGGATTAATGGGATGTTTTTATCAGCTGTTTGGACTCTCATTCTGACGGCACCCATTCACTGCAGAGGATCCATTGATGAGCAAGTGATGGAATGCTACATTTCTCCAAATCTGATGAAGACATTCATCTACATCTTGAAAGGGCTAAGAGTGAGAACATTTAACATAAACAGCAATTTTTCATTTTTGGGTGAACTATTGCTTTAAAGATAATGTCAAGCTGAGCACATTGCATTGCACATTGTGTTTTCTCTTGTGTACTGCACTTTTTGCATAGTAGGTCATCCAGATATTCTGTGCATATAGATAGATATTGTGCACAGCATACATACTATATACTGCAGGAATAGTAAGATTAGGATGCTGTTCTGAACACAGTCTTCTTTCTCTCACATATGCCCATGCATTCTCGTTCACACTCGTATACACTTAGTTTTTTTCTCTCACTTTCTCTCGTACCATCTGTGTCTGACACACACTTACTCCACACACATATTGTGTGCTTTTTCTGTCTAAGTCACATGGTTCGTGTTGAGTAAATTGTTAGCAGGTGACACACATGCAAGCCCACACACAGATACCAATGTTTGCTGCACTGCTATTCTAGTTCATACTAGTCTATTGGAATATTTCACACTTGATTTCTTTGAAGATTCACTTATTTATATTGTGTTTTTGTGCTGGAAATTGGTATTTGGTATCTAATGCAATCAGCTGATAGGGATGTGCATGTGTGAGATTGATGTAAAGGGAAAAGCTCCACTTTTCTCAGCATCTGCACACTGATGT